CATGGTTATGTTATTATCACATTAACCATCTTCAGTGTGGTAAAGTCCATGGTTATGTTATTATCACATTAACCATCTTCAGTGTGTAAGGTCCATGGTTATGTTATTATCACATTAACCATCTTCAGTGTGTAAGGTCCATGGTTATGTTATTATCACATTAACCATCTTCAGTGTGTAAGGTCCATGGTTATGTTATTATCACATTAACCATCTTCAGTGTGTAAGGTCCATGGTTATGTTATTATCACATTAACCATCTTCAGTGTGGTAAAGTCCATGGTTATGTTATTATCACATTAACCATCTTCAGTGTGTAAGGTCCATGGTTATGTTATTATCACATTAACCATCTTCAGTGTGTAAGGTCCATGGTTATGTTATTATCACATTAACCATCTTCAGTGTGTAAGGTCCATGGTTATGTTATTATCACATTAACCATCTTCAGTGTGGTAAAGTCCATGGTTATGTTATTATCACATTAACCATCTTCAGTGTGTAAGGTCCATGGTTATGTTATTATCACATTAACCATCTTCAGTGTGGTAAGGTCCATGGTTATGTTATTATCACATTAACCATCTTCAGTGTGTAAGGTCCATGGTTATGTTATTATCACATTAACCATCTTCAGTGTGGTAAGGTCCATGGTTATGTTATTATCACATTAACCATCTTCAGTGTGGTAAGGTCCATGGTTATGTTATTATCACAGAGAAAGCATCAAACTGACCATGATTCAGTTGAAATGAATAAAACAACTTCCATAACCAAAGCAAAGGAAGGTTTCTCACCCATCATCTGTACTTCTTAGCAAGTTTTACTTCCATAACGTGATTCATTCTTAACGACTGCAGCAGTGTCTCTGTGTAAAATACAGTCAAATGTCCAAAAATCATCACCTCCATTTGCAGCTTTGTAACTACACCTGTTTTTACCATCGGTACCAGTCCACACTGTCCAACACACCAGCAACAACAGCAGAACCAGCAGCAGCACCAGCAGCAGCGCTCAAAACTCCTCTGATAGTTTCAGTAACACCACAAATGAATATGTGACATCAGTAACATCAGTCTCTTATCAATGGCAACATGTTGGTAAAAGCGAGTGGTTTCTCAGACCATGTCTGCAGCCTGTGAGAGTTTTAACAAACTCTCTCTCACTGTGCGGCTGCGATGCTAATGCTAATGTTGTTAGCACAGGTAGCTTCCCTTTACAGCAGCAGAACTAACCTCTCGCTCTGGGCACAAACAGACTGCTGTGTCTTCAGGGCCAGACAGGTTTATCTTCTGTTTTCTCAATTCTTCGCTCAAAGTGCCGTATTTTTCGCCGAGTCTTGTAGTTTAAGATGTTATTCCTTCAGCACCGCTCTGGTGGAGCCACTACAGACGCTCTGGACTCACCCCTGAGCGCGGCGCTGCGGCGTCGCGGCGCGGAGCGGCTTTTTAAAATGTAACTTTATTATATTTTTACATAAATGAGCCACGGGCCGTGTCAAATCTCTTGGCGGGCCGGTTCCGGCCCGCGGGCCGTATGAATGACACCCCTGCTCTACATTATAGGTTCCAGTCCTCATGGCGTTCATACTTACACATGTTAATGCGTGTGAATACGATTCTTGACTTGTAAAAGCATATTCTAAAGGTATTCAACATGTTGTCTTGAATACAGCATATTTATCCGTTTCCCGAGCTTCTAGTTCCCACAGACTTTTCATACTTGACAGAAACATTGGTGGTGCCATCCTTGTCACTATCACTTTCTCTGGCTTTATAAGTAACAGTAAATCAGTAACACTGCAGATTAAAGATGACCGTGGAAGTCAAAGTGGGTCAAGCTCATGCATAAATATAGATAGAACATGCAACTGATAATGACAATGACTTTGCGTTTGATGAATTAGCATTGGGAATCAGAAAACTCACTACTATTACAATGAACTGACCTAGTTTTGATGACAAATGTTATTACTTTATTATTGATGAAAGAATTATTATTCATGTATTTATTATTAAGAGGAATTGCCCCTTTGAGATCAAATACAAAAATAGCATTACAGCAGCAACTGTCACATACATACAAAAAAACTAAATTATTAAATTAAACAAACACACAACTCTGCTCCCACTGATGTCTGCTGTCGTTGTGTCCCTGGGCAAGACACTTAACCCCACATTGCCTGAAGCCCCCGCTGAAAGACCAAGGCCATGTCTTCGATCCCGGAGAAGCCATCATCCTGTGAACCCACCCCCTGCAGGAGGATCAGAGGGACTGGATGCGTTGAGATTTGAGTGGCAGCTCTGATTGCCACTCCCCCGACCCAGAAATGGAATAATAAAGGGGTAGAAAATGACAAATGATGACAAACACACAACAAAAAACAGGACAAAACCTCACACATTCACACACACACACACACACACACACACACACACACACAGCTCTCAGGTTCCCCACTCCCCCTTTAACTACAGTAAAGTACAATACAAATTAAATACATTATAACGCTGATGGAGAATACAACTTCACACAACGGAAACATATCTCGGGCTCTTGTTCACCGGTCAATCTTCGTTCCCTCCCTCACCTATGGTCATGAGCTTTGGGTAATGACCGAAAGAAGGAGATCGCGGATACAAGCGGTCGAAATGAGCTTCCTCCGCAGAGTGGCTGGGCGCTGCCTTAGAGATAGGGTGAGGAGCTCGGTCACACGGGAGGAGCTCGGAGTAGAGCCGCTGCTACTCCACGTCGAGAGGAACCAGTTGAGGTGGCTCGGGCATCTGTTCAGGATGCCTCCTGGACGCCTCCCTGGGGAGGTGTTCCGGGCACGTCCCACCGGGAGGAGGCCCCGGGGAAGACCTAGGACACGCTGGAGGGACTATGTCTCTCAGCTGGCCTGGGAACGCCTTGGGGTCCCCCCGGACGAGCTGGAGGAGGTGTGTGTGGATAGGGAAGTCTGGGCGTCTCTGCTTAGACTGCTGCCCCCGCGACCCGGCAACGGATAAAGCGGAAGAAAATGGATGGATGGATGGACAACGGAAACATAATACTGCAGAAGAAGCATCAAAAGCAGTTACAGTTTAAAGTGCTCTAACACAGCGTTCTTAAACAAAGGGAGGGTGCGAGGGGAAGAAGGTTCTAGTCCGTCAGGGTTTTGTAATGAAAAGCCTGTTTTTGTATTTATTTTTAACACAGAGGGTGTGGAAGAAAAGAGTGTCAGTGTCAGTGTGACGAAGACTGTAAGTGGAACAAAGAAACCCCAGAAAGAAAAGCAGGATTGAGCGGATCCATAATAACGAAAACAAACAAACCTGGAATTATACTGCATGATACAAAAATATTCTTGAACCTTCCCAAAGCCGGCTGTTAAAGGGAATTTATTACTCATTAACTTGTACTTTAACAATAAGTTTATCTCTCAAAACATGTGTAAAGAGGCCTATGGAAGTCCAAATGGGTCATACACACATCTATCTGCCTTTGACTGAATACAAATCGCGGGGGGACTGAGCTTTCGGGTCGGTGGCTCCTAAACTACAGGATGCTCTCTCCCCAGAATTATATATAGTACCTTGGAATCCTTTAAGTCATGTACAAAAAATAGTTGCTTGTTTAGACTTGCATTTGTTGTTTACCGCTATCTGTCTGAATGCACTGGATTTAATTGTATTTTAATAATGTGTATTTGAAAATGTCTCTTTTTTGCCTTGTGTGTCGACCTCTGTGAAGTTTATGCATGAAGGGGACATAGTAAATAAGTTTTGTCAGAGTGGATGGGCGCTTTCTTAGAAGTAGGGTCAGACGGAAGGAGCTCGGAGTAGAGTCGCTGCAGGAACCAGTTGAGGTGGCTCATCGGGCATCTGTCTTCTGGATGTCTCTCTGGGTAGATGTTCCGGGAATGTCCCATTGGGAGTTGACCAGGGGACGACCCAAAACTCATAGAAGGGACTGTGTCTCTCAGCTGGCCTGGGAATGCCTCAGGAGGATTCCCCCAGATGAGCTGGAGGAAGTGTGTGTGGATAGGCAAGTCTGGGCGTCTCTGCTCAGACTGCTGCCTCTGTGACCTGGCAATTGATAAAGCAAAAGAAAATGGATGGATACTTACTCACGTCTGCTCCCGGGCCCCCTAGTGGCAGCAGCCGTTTACATGGACATCTCTCTTGTTTTAAAAAAAAAACAAAAAACATGAATTGAATTGTGGACAAACGAGTCTTTTGACATATTCTTTCCAGTCCATGAAACAGCACAAAAAACATCTGTTAGCCCCACCTCCGGCTCAACAGTAACCGACTAAACTCACATGATCCCAGACTGCTGTATCTGTATCCAATCTCATGTCATTGTTTACCAAAAATCGTCCAAACACAGTAATTCCACTCAGTCCTGACCTCACACACAGATTATAGACAGTGTGAGCCCCAGGAAAAAACATATTCTAATACAGTAGTTGTGGTAAATGAGAATTTGATAAAATGTGTTTATTATTGCCCTTAACAAGATCTCAAGAACGTCTTCTTTGCCATTGTATATATTTTTTTCATCTGACGAAGAATAAACAAAGGATACAAGTGGTGCAACGGCTCCATCTAGAGGTAGAAATGAGCCATTGAACGGTTGTTAATTGTTTGTTGTTTTAATGGGTCAAAATATCATGGTTGAAGGATTCAAAGTTAGTGAAGTGAAAAAAACATGTATTGGTTCATTTGAAGTGATAGAAACATGAGCTGTTTTGAGAGTGAGGAATGAATAACATTTTTATTTCATAGTTACTTTTTTATGGTTTGAAAGTTAGGTATCTCAGCTTTAATTGTAGATATTAAGTGACAGGTTCAGTATTGTCCTATAAGAAAGCAACACAAAAGACTGATTAACAAACAAATGACATGGTTATTTACATGTTATTATTACGTATTTACATTTACAAAAAAGTCTATAATAGTCTCTGAAGCTGGAATGATCGAAAAGGCACAAATTCAAAAGTCTTTTTCCAGTTTGCTTCAGGCCTCCTCAGACTTCTGCGGCGAGCGGTGAACGATGCGGTCGATGCTTTGCTGAATGTCGGCCATTTTCTTCAAGACGAGGTTCACTTTGGTCTCGTCCATCTCCAAACACACAAACTCTGAGCTCTGTGAGAGAGAACAGAAATGGCATTATATACATTTAGCAAAAAGAGACTTCAAAGTATTTCTGGAAACTTTGTGGGTTCATTAAATAGACCTTTCTTGCACACACCTCTCCGCTTCGTCCCAGCTCCAACTCTACCAACGCCACGGCTCCGCTGGGCGCCGTGTCCCCGCGTCCGTGCGCCGCCTGGACGTCCACCCTCCAGCTCAGGCCCCTCAGCGCCGGCTCCCAGCGGCTCTGGTTCAGCAGCGCCTCCCGCACTTTGGAACGGTGGCTTTTCCAGAAGCGAGAGAGCACCGCGGCCTGCTCTGAGCTCAGGCCAGAGCCGCCCTGACGCCGTTTGGTCTGAGCCGTGAGGAAGGCCTCCAACTGGGCCTGGTCCATGTCCGCCGAGGCTATGGACTGACAAACACAGAGGGTGAGAGACGTAGAAGTTTATTTATTTATTCATTTGATATGGACACCACAGTCACATTGGACAGACCAGATGCACAGCCTTTTGTGTTATTTTCTGAACATAAATAGATCCGATTGGCCAGTATTCCCCCCCAACACGAGTACATCTGTGACATGTTTAGAGCCATATGAACCAACTCGAAGACTGAGGAGCACAGGGACTGGCCTCCTGCTGGGACTCCGAGGAGCACAGGGACTGGCCTCCTGCTGGGACACTGAGGAGCACAGGGACTGGCCTCCTGCTGGGACACTGAGGAGCACAGGGACTGGCCTCCTGCTGGGACACTGAGGAGCACAGGGACTGGCCTCCTGCTGGGACACTGAGGAGCACAGGAACTGGCCTCTTTCTGGGACACTGAGGAGCACAGGGACTGGCCTCCTGCTGGGACACTGAGGAGCACAGGGACTGGCCTCCTGCTGGGACTCTGAGGAGCACAGGGACTGGCCTCCTGCTGGGACACTGAGGAGCACAGGAACTGGCCTCTTTCTGGGACACTGAGGAGCACAGGGACTGGCCTCCTGCTGGGACACTGAGGAGCACAGGGACTGGCCTCCTGCTGGGACACTGAGGAGCACAGGGACTGGCCTCCTGCTGGGACACTGAGGAGCACAGGGACTGGCCTCCTGCTGGGACTCTGAGGAGCACAGGGACTGGCCTCCTACTTATACCTGCCTATACTCTATATTCCATGTTAAAAGCACATTGATTTCGCCTCTTTTCTCTCATGTTGCTGTATGGTTAGCCTCATCCACAGACAGTACTACCTTGAGCAGGCCTCTCATCTTCTCGAGCAGGGCGCTGAACTCATCCTGCGACACTTCCGGGTACAGCTCATTCTTCAGCAGCTCCTCTGTGATATCAGGATTGTTGTAATAAACTTGTTTCGTGATTCCGTTCAACAAACCGCTCAGAGATTTGACAGCAGCTTCAGCGTCCGCCATGTTGGTCCTCACGCCAGTCACGTGAGGAGCGGCCGCAGCAGGGCATTCTGGGAGATGGAGTTTAGTTAGATCACAGCGAGTAGCAAATGCAAACTGAAATGACCGGTATTTAAAAATACATAAATTAATATATTTGTACATGCATAAACTAGGCCTGTAACAATACCTAAAACTGACATCTCTACTTTTTTATTAAACCGTAACCGTTGACCGTTATCTCTCGAGGCAAGACGTTGCAGTAGCGCCTCTCCGCCTGGTGGGGGAGGTAATGAACACCTCAGCTCCACCAAAACAACAGCGACTTCCTCCATGTGACAAACAGGTGAAAACATGCGTGCTGCTTTTTACTCGTGTTTAATGTTTAGTGCGCATTTAATATGAACTTTAACGTGACTTTCTCCCACTGCCATAAGAATAACCTGAGTTAGCTCCTCCGCTGTTCTCAGTCTGACTAACTAGCGCCTAAGCTAGCTAATAATCTGTCTCTGTATGTGTGTTTGTGTCATGTTAGGATGCTAAAACATATTATTTTTGAGAAAAGATTTAATTAAATGGCAAATTGATACAGAAAACATACAATAAATTAAACTGGCTAAGGCTGACTTGTTGATAATATACGAGCTTTATATGTTTTATGTTGCTATCTATCTGGGCTGAACCTACTAATACAAACAATATAGTGTTTTGGATTAATATACTTTGCTTTCATATTAGTCACGTGGTAACTGCTGTAACATTTTCTATGACCAATGATTTTGAAAAATATTGGTCATATGACAGTGGTGATGATCCAGGACACTCAGCAATCATCTATGGACATTCATTAACATTTGTGGATATTGGTCTCTGCCCCTTATGGACCAATGACAGTGTGTTTTTTATAATTGCGTGTCTTGTGTTTCAACTGTTTGATAGTGTTGGCGAATTAACAGGTTTGTAAAGACCTCCGAGATAATCACTGAATGACATGTCATAGGATGTTATTCTTGAGTCTTGAGACAACATGTGTACCTTTAAAGTATGAGAGCATAATTAAAGCCCAAACAAACTATAATGAGGGCTTCTTCCAGGTCAAGTATAAGTCAGGTTTGTGGAGATGAAAGAAGTAACTAAGCATGATTTTTATTATAATTGTTATTGCAGAATCTCTTTTTCAGAAAAGTCCTAGCCCCACAAAGAGGGGTCAGGGAGGGTGTTATAGGGGACTATTGCAATTGTTTTTAGTGATAGGGCAAACAGGTGGAAACAAATCTAGGACCTTCTTGCTGTGAAGGCTAACCACACTTTACAACCCTGCTCAAACATGTACGAAATGTGTGTGATGATGAGATGGACATTAAAATGAATGAATTTTCATAATCCTTACCCTTTTATCTAAACATGTTTTAAGCAGGTGAGTTTGCAGAGATGTTGCCATTGAAGGAAAAGGACAAAGTTTTGGTGCAGAAGCTGCTGTCGTCCGGCTGTTGTCCGCGCTGCGTTCTACGTTTCTGCTGCGTCAACGTCCCGGCGCTTTACAGAAGACCAGCCCAGGTAGCAAATCTACTACTTTAGAGTTTAGACTAGACCAGGCCAGGCCAAACTTAGGTCCGCGAGCCAATTACAGCCCTCTATTTCATTGTTTGTGGCCCACTGCCTTTCTAACTTAAAAGAGTCAAATTATATTTAGGCAAGGCAAATATGTGTAGCTCAGTTGATACACAAGGCAACTCAAAGTGCTTAACAGAACAAGATAGAACAACAAGGCATTAATATCATCAATAATCACAGTACATTAAAAGTATGGAATTTTGAAACACTGATTTCCAGACCTTGAAATGTCTTGAATTTTGTGTGAAAACCTTAATAAAGTTTGGAAAAGATTTATGGTAGAATTTTGCAGTATGCTCAAAGGCATTGTGAAATGAGAAATAGGAAGGTAGGCTATAAAACTATAATTTTACTAACTGGTCACGTACCTTATTAGCCTGAATGGAATGATATCCAATCAACGCTTGCTTAGCCTAGGTACATTTTGGTGATGTCACTGCTGAGGTCTATTGACATGGTACAATCTCAACCAATGAAGTGGGCAGTAGGCACACAAGTATACAAGTAGATAAATTTAAGGTCTTGGGGAAAAATCAGTTTTAAAAAAGTCTGAGAGTTTATAGGTTATTGTAGTAATTGTCTTTATTTTGTATTTAAAAGTACAGGCTTCAAAGCATATTCGATTTTATTTACATTAAACTGAACAAAACCTGTTGTCATTGTGCAGGAGCTGCTGAAGGAGCTACAAGAGTTCATCAGTGATGACACCACAGGGGAGACCTCAAAGGGTGAAAGCCAATCAGACGCCAAAGCGGAGCAGGAAGCAGATGAAGCCCCGCCTCCAAAACGATTTAAACCAGAAGAGACTGAACCAATGACAGAGGAGGGAAGCCCTGTGTGTCCAGTGTGTCTGGGAGTCTTAGAGGAGCACTGCGAACAAACACTGGCCTCAAAGGTAAGAAGTCCTCAATCTACACTATCTCTTCTTCTGTCTATCCTTTTAAAGAAGACATATCATGCTTTTGTCTGCTGTGACTGAGAATTTACGACATGTAAGTACGACATGTGAGTTACGTTATGCCAGTGATAGTACAGTATAGAAAAATGGTGTTAGGATTTAGGCAGACAGAGACGGATCGTGGTGTGCCAAACTCTGGAAGTTTATTTAAGTTTCTCTCAAGTTCCACTGGTTTACTCTGTTTCTTTCTCTCAGACAGAATAAAGGCAGTACACAGTTTATATAGTCATTGTCACGTCACACATCGAAAGACATACGTGTCACAAAGAGACAGTCACATCATAGTCATAACATGGAGTCCTTGTAGAGTCCTTGTACAGCCCTGCACGTAGGCCATATTGCTATCTAATACTAACACCCTCCCCTTTGATCACATAATCACATGTGATCACTCAATTTGATCAATCAATAAAGTGGAAAAAGAAAAAAAAAATCTAAAAAAAACTTTAAAAAATTATTAAAAACAAAGAAAATGTATGCATTACACTCATAATCATCAAATCAATTTTATCCTCTATCCTGGGAAAAAATAAACAAATACAAATCGAAAATAAAAACAAACAAACACTATTGGACACACAAGAACTCAGCAGATTCAGTCAAAACACAGACAAAAACGAGCTGAGTCTCAAATTAGAAGCTAATTTCACTTTTATTACTCTACTTTTATTCTAATGCTAATTGTTTACACTTCACTTATTTCACTGTATTATTTTCACTTTTCAATCTTAGACTGTGTACTTTACTTTTACTATTCACTATAGTTTAAACTATTCTAATCTATTTACAAATATGTTTGCATATTTGCTTCTATTGAGCCATATTCTTAAACATACATTTTAATCTAATAAATCTCTCTGTGGTATTATACTCTCATTATCAGTGGATTATTGTTAGTGGGATTTTGCTCCATGTCTATTCTCATTCTCAGGAATAAAACTGTGAACACAGTAAGGCAAATGGTCAACATTTACACTTCTATAGTGGTCAGTGATTTATTACTTTTTATTATCTAAAGATATTATTGTCAGGCATTTTGGGATGAATGTACATCATTAATCAAATTAGTATTATACAAGAGCTAATCTATTTTAGCAAGTTTGGGGTTGGGGTCAGTTATTCTACAATGGTATTTGTGCTGGAAACCTCTCAATATCTAAATATCTACCATACTGTTTTTGTGCTATACACAAATACATCAAAATGCTTTTGAATCTCTGTTGGTTCTAATCTATCTCATTAATCTAGGCATTAATCTAGGCTACACTCATATGAACTTTTGCATTGTCAACATTCACCAATGTTTGAACACAAGTGAATTTGGCAAGTATCTAATAAAACTGTACATAAACTGTAATTAACTTTATCTACTTTTGAAGTAAATGCTTGTGAAATGGTCCCTTTACCATTTGATATTAGCACTGGCTACAAATAATCTCTATTTTTGAAAGCATCTATGGTTGATGCATTTATCTATTCCTATTTTTACTCTACTGTGGCTCCAAAGTTTGGCTGCAGTTTGAGCAAAGGCATATTTCTAATTTGTGACTTCTGTCACTTTTAATGGCTGTAACATAACTCTGATTCTAATATTCTAGCTGATCTATCAAAAGGATAACATTGTAGGGTACTATTTTAACTCTTATGTGGAAATGTGTTTATGAACAACAAAGAAAGGACAATTCTTCTTTTTTACTACTATTTAACATCTACTAAAACGCTACAATACTCATACTTTATCATTTTCAAAGTTTTTAACAGTTGCTCAGTCTCCCAGACTAAAAAAGTCAAATTTTTTGTCTGTCAGATGTCTGAATACTTAACATGTATATTGCATTTGGTCACAGTTGTGGTTGTAGCAATAGCATCGGCAATAGACGTTTTCATTGGCTGGTTCTTGTTCTGCAAATGTCTGTGTCCAATAGATCATCAGATGTCCAGAAGCTAGGGACAAACAAAAACAAAAGAAAGAATCATGAGTATCTCTCTCATTTAGCACTCATCAATGTATGATTTCAAAAATATAAACATCACTCCCCAGTTTTCTCTCTCAGGTCCTCAGGTCCTCAGGGTCCCCTGAGGGTGAGTCTCAGTCGTCATCAGGTCAGGTCATATTGGACATCAGTAGGATCCAAGCCATGGTTCTGGTCTCTCCAGTTGGACATCGGATCTCCAGATACAGTCTTTTCACTTGAAGCACATCAGGTCACTTGGGATGCACTTCTGGTCAATGGTGCAGTGTCTCAGTTCCTGTACACAGCTTGTTATGCAATAGTTACTTTCTATGGTTAAGTCATTTTGATTCTACTTTAACACAATTTCTATTCATGCTGTTGCTAATGTCCCTCAGACAAAAAGCAAGCGCAATGATTCAGTTTACTTCTCTAATTTGGGTTTTTATCAGATCTAATTCTAATCAATGTAATTACTTCACACAGTACAAAATCAACAAATCAAAAGTGTCAGGACAGAGGTCAATTAAGTCCATGACAATATAGAATTCAAATGAACATTTCTGGTCTCCAAAAATACTGATTCAAATAAAGATTCAAGTGATAGACAATTAAAAATATGTGTTTACATTGGAGTAAACTTTTAAAATGCTTTTTTCTCATGTTCTGCTTTTTCATGTATCTATATGTAAATGTGAATGTGTGAGTGTATGTGTGTGTGTATGTGAATTTTGGGGTTGTTTCTCCAGACTCCTCGAACCACCCGTAGGTCTCAAAGGTCACACTGTGATGATGTAAACCCAACTGGACACACTCTCAACTCTCATTCAGGTCTTTCCCTGATGCTCCACCCATCACGTCTCCAGATACCTCTCTTTCATGGCCCCGGTCTCACTCCCACTTACTTCTGTAGTGGGGGGAGGGGCAAGGAGGTGGCATTGTTGCCCTTTGCTCTTAGCTCTGTGACCTGTGGCTGGGTGGGCTTTGGTGTCCAGTGTCCAGCAGTGACCTCTCCCACAGTGTGCCAGAGTCTGAAAAACAATCCTTGAGACGGCCAATTTAAAAAACAACAGATATCAGTATGCGAATGAGATTGTTTTTCTCTCTAAGTCTAAACAATTTTGGAGCGCTCTGGGTTTTCCCAAGCGCTATGTAAATAAAAGATTACTTATTATCTTACTAATGATGACATTTAAAACCAGAAACTCTCAATATAAAAAACAAGACTCAAATCTCTTAAACCTTCTTAAACTTTAAAATATGTGTACTTTTGTACTGTGTTTAATTATCTATGCGTCCTTGGGTTTCTTGAAAGACGCCATGAAATGAAATTATGAAAAATCTCTATAAAAATGAACATTAATTTGTAAAAACATTTAAAACAAAACTTGACATCAAACAAAAGATTTAGCTCCAGCTAAACTGGATTTGGTTCAATAAAACTCAATTGTGCGTCGGAGCTGCCTCCTCCTGTCTCTGAGCAGCAGCAAGGTCACGCGTGTAGTCAAAACAAAAACAAAAAGTCACCACTTGCAATGGGTGAATTGGGTAGTTTAACTTAATAATATAATACTTTTACAGCCTAATTCCCTCTTTCTTTTTTAGACGAAGTCTATAATCAATAATCACTTTTAACACAGATTCTAATTTAAATGTTTGAAAAACGGCTTTTGTAACTAAAATAAAAAATACATGAAAAAATTCTCACTAACAGCTATGAAATATATCAGAGATACAATAATGGACTCACAAAATAAGCAGCAGATTTAAAAAGAAAAGCAAAGCTTTTTGTACTAATCTTTGGGTTTCAAAAACATACTAATTCAAAACTTCTATTCCCTAATGGTGTTTAAAAACGTTTAACTGTGTCTAACACAATGTTCAAATGGCAAATTTAGCAAATTTAACGGAATAACTACTATGAAAAGCCAAAAATCCTAAAGCAGTAGCTTTGCTTCAGATTCAGAGCCAGAGCAGCGAAGGAGGGGGCCGTTTCCCTGACAACGGCAGCAGATAGAGATGTGCACACACAGGCAAAAAGATACAGAAGAATAACTTTCAAGATTACTTTGTTAAGCGAATATAACTGATGTTGTTCTTTAAACTTTTGTCATCCAAATCTAGAAGTGATCACTTTCCACACTAGTAACAAAAGGCACTCTTTAGTGTTTAACGTTTCCCTTTTTATAATTACTTTTAATTTTACACCATGGTTTCTCTCAAAGGGACTTTAACCCTGAAGCTTCTTCTCAAAGGGACTTTAACCCCGAGGCTTTTCTCAAAGGGACTTTAACCCCGAGACTTTCTCAAAGGGACTTTAACCCCGAGGCTCAAAGGGACTTTAACCCCGAGACTTTCTCAAAGGGACTTTAACCCCGAGACTTTCTCAAAGGGACTTTAACCCCGAGACTTTCTCAAAGGGACTTTAACCCCGAGGCTCAAAGGGACTTTAACCCCGAGACTTTCTCAAAGGGACTTTAACCCCTAGGCTCAAAGGGACTTTAACCCCGAGACTTTCTCAAAGGGACTTTAACCCCGAGGCTCAAAGGGACTTTAACCCCGAGACTTTCTCAAAGGGACTTTAACCCCGAGGCTCAAAGGGACTTTAACCCCGAGACTTCTTCAAAATACAATTTAGAGAGTTTGACAGACCCCAAAAACAGACCAAAATTTAGCTAATATCCAATTATGCAGACTTTACATTTAAAAAGGTGTCTGCTTACCTTATTCTTGTCAAACAGGTGCGCACGGACTGTCCGAGAGGTCTGCCAACTCTTTTCCGCGTCGGAATCTTCAATTTAAAAAACAAAAGTGACAGAAGCGACAAGAAGCATCCAGGAACAGCTCTTCCAGCCTGCTGGAATCCCCGCTCCCAGACACAGCATGCCGATCTCTCACGCAGAGGAAAAGAAACAGAGCAAACTCCCCCAAAACAATCCAGAGAATGGCACACACTGAGCCGCGCATTCTCCACCAAATCTGTTA